TATAATATGTCCATATCAATTAGCTCACCGATCCCATGGATACTTCTGAAATCATCATCCACCATTCCTCCGATCTCTACTTTTCTTATACTCTTTTTGTTAAAATCATAATAGCAAACATATAATGACTTAGATGACTTTAACCAAGGCCTTAAATAAGGATAGAACACCATAAGCTCGCCCGTATGAATCACTCCTTTGGACCTTACGTAAAATCCCCCAAGAAAATCTTTCCACGTGGAAGTTAAGGCACATGTCATGCTCGACCATTCCTGTTTCTCCACATCCTCAAGAACCCACAATTTCATAAAATTTTCTTCGAAAGAAAAATCTACACCGCCCAGTTTTCCCTTGTAATTTATAAGAGTCGAAAGGTGTGTTTTCGACTCTTTGGGTAGTTTAATAAACTCAATCTTCTCTGATCTAAAGTTGAACTTAAGTATTCTTGACTTTCCAACTCCGTAGTATAGAGCAGCATCAATGTATGTCTCTCCGTATACAGAGTAATAGTTTTCTCCGGTTGTGTTCTCGATCTTTCTCCACTCTTGTTTCTGAGATGAACTCAGAGTGCAAACTAAATGCTCCTGTAATTGGTTATATGTGGCTTTATCAGAGCTGAACGACATCACACACAACACCTTGTATAGATCTTCGACTGGATCGTAGCCTGGTTCCAAGTTCTTCATGTCGTCGCTGACCATGACTGTAGAGGATTTTTCATCGTCTTTGTTTTCATGTTCAGGAGCCGAGAATATGAAACACTTTTTGGATCCATAGCATTTTCCCAAGGATAAAAGGATGTGGGGACAACCCTTTGACCTAGTCAGGAACAAGTCTGCGAAAATTTTGCTGCGGATAGTAGAGAACAACAGCTTTGACACCGATTGGAATCGGATAAGTGATTTGGGAGGAAGTAGACAGAGTATCTCGACGAGGAGATCGAGAGGAATGATTCTTTTGAGTTTCCGTCATGCAAAAGAGACTGTTGTCGATATTCCATGACGACGGCTTGGTGGTGAATTCCACAACCCTAGGTAATATATATATATATATATAACATCAAAAGGCTTTATATATATATACATTAGGGGTGTCAATTCAGGCTGGCACGTCCAACCCAGCCCGTAAATATTTAAGTCCGACCCAGCCCGAAAATATTTTAGGTCTAGAATTCTAAGTCCAAACCCGGTCTTTATAGGGCTATAGGCTTTTCAAAAAATAATTTGTCACAATCATTTCTATCGTTAATACAGCTGAATTTTTTAGAGAATTTACGTTCCATATACATGAAAATAACAAATATATTAGATAAATACTCTAGACATTTTTCCTTTTTATTAATTCCAATAGTATCCCTCTCTCTTTTCTCTCATCTCTGTAATTTTCTCCTCCTCTCCTCCTCCTTCTCCATGTCCTCCTCTCCCTCCCCCTCCTCCTCCCCGTCCTCCTCTCCCTCCCCATCCCCCTCCTCCTCCTCCCCCTCCTCCTCTTCCTCCCCCTCCCCCTCCTCCTCCCCCTCCCTCTCNCATGTCCTCCTCTCCCTCCCCCTCCTCTTCCTAGTCCTCCCCCTCCTCCTCCTCCCTCCTTTTCGGTTAATTGGGCTAATTCACCCAAAACCAAATCAACAATTCTGAGAAAGTACTAGGATAAGAACTAACCGGATAACTATTGGGTCCCTAATATATATCTTATGGTAGATTCCTAATTTCCAATATAAGAAAGTACTAGGATAAGACCCGCGCCTTGCGTGGGATGAAGCTATTATTTTTATTATGTTTTGAAAAATGAAACAATAGTTTGGTTTCATTCGGATTAGAGGTGTTCAATCCGGATATCGGGTTTCGGTTCGGCTCGATTTTTTGGTATTTCGATTATTAAAATATAACTACTATTCTAAATTTATATGTACTTCAGTTTGATTTGGTTTATATACCATCGGTTTTCAGTTTATTCAATTTTATACCAAAAACATAATTATTTAGTTTGAGATCATATTATATATTATACAAATTTATAATATGATCATATTTAGAGTCATATTGTCACAGAGTCATTTATTAAAAAAATATTATATATTTAAATAAAAGAACAAAAAACAAAAAAGGCTTCTATCATCTAATAAAATGATCAAATCTAGAATTAATATCAAAACACTAAATTTTGAACATAAAAATAAAAAACAAAACAGAAGCATGAAAGAAAAGTTTTTATATTCTTCCATATTTAGTGTTCATCAAACCAATATGTCTTCGATTGAACACAACTCTGTTTGTTTAAAGATAAAAAAAAGTTGTAAAGAATTTCAACTAATTGTTGTCCATCAAATTTATATTATTTACTTCAATTTAGCTATTGTTAAAAAAGCAAAAGATCAAAATAAGAAGTCTCAGTTGTAATAAATTGTTAGCCATTTACAAATTATAATTATAGTTCAACTCATGTAACAAATAGATATTCATGCGTCGTTATAAATATATACATATTTACATGTTTCAGTTTAATCAGTTATAAATCAAACCATATCCAAATCCTATGGTTTTTATAAAATCACATTCATTCGGTTTGTATGGTATATACCAAAAATAACCATATTATCGATTGTTAATATNATATGGTTTTAAAATCATGTATATCTTTTTATAATAAAAATGTTAAACTATTGATCATTAATTTTTAACATAATAATTTTAATAGTTTAGTTATTTATTCTCGTTTTTTAAAATTCAAAATATAACCTATACGAAAAAATCTAAAGTTTAATTTTATAGCTAATTTGATTGTTTAATTTATTTTAATAATATAAAATTATTGAAAAATGATGGAGGATATATAAACTGTTATCAAATATTTATTATTAGAATAATTAAGTGTCATATATATATATTAGTCATTTATGGTAATTCCGTAGGTTTTATTTATGGAAAGAAAATAAAATAGTAATTATATCTAGGGGAACAATCAAAAATGTTTCTATCATAAATATCATATCATATCATCATATCATATAATTTGACCAACGAATGTATCTAACGACATATAAAAATCGAACATGGACCTACTTATTTTTCAATTGAATGTAATTGACTACCTAATTGAGTGACACCTAAGCATGTAGTCTTTTTTAATTATTACAAAATTGAGGTTACAATTTTTTAATCTACTATCCATGTTTACAAACAATATTTCATTTATTTTGTTATCCTTATTTCAAAACAGTACCAAAAGGTACTTCAGCTTTAATAATATTGATGTCTGAAAAAATGAAAAAAATGAAAAATGCACCAAAATAAGGATAAAATCATAACTCTTATTTTAATATAAATCTTTTTCTTTCGAGAAAAAACTACTTATTTTGAAATAGTACATTTATCTCTATTCATTAAAAATTACATAGTTATCAAAAATATATTTTCTTTTCTTTTTCTCAAAATTTATTTCATTCATTAAAAATAATACCAAATGGAATACATAAACTGGCGGAACATGAAAAAAATCCCCGGAGACAGTAACTTAAAAAAAGGGAAACATGATACTAACCAAAACAATTGATAGATTTTAAAACGGAAGACAAGTAATATAGAGAGAGACAAAGGAACTAGAGCTGGAACTAATGATCCAATAATACCTCACCACCTTTTCATAGAACATTATTGTAGCACTGGAACTGAACTAAGACCACCATTATCGCATGGTTTTAAGATGGTTTTTACCCAAAAAGTAAGCTGTGGGCAACCACAAAAAGAAAGAAACGAGTTGCACAAGTAGCAGGAGAAGAAACGTTTGTTCATGGTTTTTGGTACTGTTTGCGGGCCCCATAGACACGTGGTGGCCCGCCATTGGTATATTTTATAATTTTTTTTTTTTTTTAGTTAAAAAGTAAAAATTTAAGAAACCCATTTGTAAGTTTGTGGGATAAAGATGGTCTAAGAACCAAATGTCCTGAGCGATCCCAACCCTGAAAGGAACATCACCAAGCTAAACTAGGGCAGTAACAACATAAACAATCGCAAGGTCAAACTACATCAACTCCAGCAGATACTATCCATCCGACACTTGCATGACCAAAACCCATCACTAAGGACCAAAGAACTTGAAAACTCACTTGAGAAAACGTCAAAGAAGACCACCAGCTCTTACACGCGCGAAACTGCCAAATGACCTACAGAACAAAGACTGCTCACCTCCTCGAGAGAAGAACTGAAGAACAAGTCAGCTGCTTCGTCTAGAAACCACTTCCCAAATCCATAGAGGACAAGGAAAGGTCTAGTAGATACCTCTACAGCGAACACAAATCACAAAGACGAACCCGAATAGCGAACTTAGGTTGAGATGAAGAGACCATGCCAGCAAGAACCGAACATAAGCAGCAGTCCCATGACTTCAAGCTAATACCAACTCGTCACAAAAGACCTTCTACCCACGCTTAAACACACCAAGAGAAGGGAACAAATCCCACCGTCAATCAAGTAGATCCGGACCTCCGGCTTCAACAGAGGGAAACAGACGGTCAGATCTGAAGCCATGCACCTCGTCGAAATGCTTCATTAAATATACCACTCAAATTAAACCACCAAGAGTATAAACCCAAAAAAAAACACCGCATACACACAGACATAATATACAAGAAGGAAAGGAGGAGAGAGCTGACGTAGCCATCGAAGCCGGTCTCTGACAAAAATATATTTTCATATGGCTCATTATCATTACTTATATGTTTAAAGAATAATAACACCAAAACATTATTTACCAAAATCGTGAATGAACAGTAAATAACATATATTCATATTCATTTTTACTATTTTCTTGAAACAGAGACTGTATATGTTATTTGTCTTTGTACCCAGAATAACCCAAACAAAGTATTTTTTAAAGTTACTCTGTATATGTTAAATGTAGTGGATACTCACATCTCTTCTTAGCTCACAACAAAACGTTCCATGGAATAAACCAAAAAAAAAAGATGATGAATATCACAATCTTGATCATGGATTAGACATTAATGACTGTAATAATCAATTTTGGCACCAGTAGTCATCTAAATCTTAAGAAAGTACCGAGAATAACCCAAACAAAGTATTCTTTATTTATTTAGTACAAAGACAAATAACATTTTTATTTTTCATTATTTTGCATATCCAACATACACATGCCTCAAGAACTCTGCATCCGTCGATAATTTTTCCATAACGCGAGACGTTAAACTCGTCTGAATCTCAATGGTTCCATCTTCAACTCCCGAGTAAACAACGAGTTTACCATCGCTGGAATTACCCGGTCCTCCTCGAACCGCGATCGGTTTACCCCAACCGAAATCATTCCCATACACATCAAACCAAGGAGAACCAGAAACACCTATAGAATTGCTACTACTCATCATAGCCTTATTACCCAAATTACCGTTTAATATTCTCGGTTTCTTCACCCAATTCTCAGCGAACACTCTGAAATTCTCGTCCGTTTGTGACCCCACACTTTTATTAATCTGCAAAGCAGCCCAACCCAGCCCATTGTTAACCACTTCTCTCACAGTTGCCGTGACCGTCACGAATCCAACCACGTTCCCAAAACACTCTTTCTCAAGCGGAGGGTTTAACCTTCGTCTCATATCCATTAACAACCTACAATAAATCTCTTCTTCCGGATTCAGATCACGGTTTCTAATTATCGCTCGCCACATATGCGCCAAAACCGCTTGAAGGGATGAGATTTTTGAATCAACTTCACTGTTGGCTTTCTCTTTAAGCTCGGAGGTTTCCTTACTCGTGAACCGGAAAATCTTGTCTTGTAAATCCGAAGAAACAAACCGAACCGGTGATATAACCGTCTCCGAGATAGGGATTCGAATCGGGTAGTCTATCCCGCGTAAAAACCACCCAGGGAGTTTTAAAGGAGGAAAGTTTTTCCGGTCAGACCCGGTATAGCAAATCTCGGACCAAGTTTTGAAGAAGTTCCAGAAGGAAGATCCGTCTGTAACCATATGGTTGCAACCATATCCGATGAAAACTCCGTCTTTTAACTCAGTTACTTGAATCGCAAGCAACGACTCTGAGACCCCTTCACAGCTTAAAACTCCGTTAACCGGGAAAAATTCACTTAGTAAACCGGGGACAATAATACCATCTACCGGTTCTAAAACATCATTCACCGAAACGGTTAGAGCCGAAGCGTGGATGAATTTGACACCTGAGCCATCGCAGTTTATGTAAAACGACGCCGTTTTATCGTCTTCGTTCTCGGTTTTGACGAGACGACCCGCGAATGGGTAGAAAATCTTCAAAGCTACGGAGAGAGAGGACTTGAGTTGAGAGATTATGTTTGTTTCCGGGTCGGGTTGTGGAAAGAGAAGTCCTCTTTGTGTGTAATCGGATTGAAGAAGGAAGAGATCCCATGGAGTGAGATGGATCTTAACCGGATCCGGTCCATCTTCGAAGCTCTCGGGTCGAACAATGGTCTTAGAGATTATTACAACATCTCTCATTTTGCTGGTCACTTTTTGTTTTCTGGATGAGATCTACTAAGCTTTTTTTTTATGACTAATATAAGCCAAATCATTCATTAGTCATGAGAGTGACATATAATATTTGTATTAGTTGCAAACCAAATCATTCATGACACTGATATATATTGTATTAATTGCAAAACCAAATCATTCACTAGTCAACAGTACATTAAGATAATGTTAAAACCAAATCATTTGAGTCTTGACATTGACATACTAACTACTGTGAACGTAGAACGTGTTTTCAACCAATGAGATAGCAAAATAGTAAACACAAAAGAGCTCAGATGACTTAAAAGGATCTTGAAACAACTATAGACTCGTTGGTATGCATTTAAAAAACTTTCTCCTCAGGTAACAGATCTTATTTCCACTCTCAATGCACACCACATGTCAACAATGCTCGACCATTCCTTGTTACTAAGAACATGTTTATTGCAGGTCCCTTAAAACAGAATCCCTTAGCGTACGATCTCTTAGCTTTTAATTGAAAACGTTAAGGGACGTCCCTTAAATCCCTTATATAAGGGACGTCCCTTAACGTTTTAAGTTAAAAGATAAGGGACTGTACGATAAGGGATCCAGCTTAAGGGACTGTATGAATGGTAGGAGTCATAGCTTAAACATGCAACTTTTCCTTGGTGAGTTATAAGTCGAATAACATGAACGTTGGACGAGACCAAGTCTTTGACCTAGCTGAGCTGTAAACATCACGTGTCACTTCTTCGTTTGTCTGTTTTTGAATGATAGTGTTTCTGGACTTTTGTTAGTACGTAACGATCTAATACTCTTTGAACTTAATGATACTTTCTCGTACTCGTTGATTGTTTGTTTATTTTACACTACATCACAACTAGAAATTTTGACAAATAAAAAAACAACCCAAGATCTTCAAAAAGAAAAAAAAACAGAAATTAATCGTTTATAACAAACCCTGATGATAATCAACTCATGATCAAATTGAATGGAAGAAGCTAATTATTACAAAAAAAAAAAAAAAAAAAAAACATCACAAGAACCTAATATTCTCAAAGTGGCCTGTAAAACAAAACTTCTCCCCAGTAATTGGCTGACCGATCCCATGGATACATCTGAAGTCATCATTCATCAATCCTCGGATCTCTACTTTTCTTATACTTTTTTTTGTTAAAATCATAATAGCCAACAGAAAATGGCTGAGATAACTTCAACCATGGATAGAACACCATAAGCTCGCCCGTATGAATAACTCCTTTGAATTTTAGGAAACTCCTACGCCAAGTTGAAGGTATGGTATACGTCATCCTCGACCATTCTTGTTTCTCCGCATCCTCAAGAACCCACAATGTCATCGGATGTTCTTCCCAAGAACAATAATCTACACCGCCCAATTTTCCATTGTAATTTATAAAACTGGAGTCAAGTGTTGTCGAGATAAGAGACTCTTTGGGTGTTTTAATAAACTCAATCTTCTCTGATCTAACGTTGAACTTAGCTATTCTTGGCTTTCCAACTCCGTAGTATAGAGCACCATCAATGCATATCCCTCCGTAGACACATGAATAGTAATAGTTTTCTCCGGTCGTGTTCTCGATCTTTCTCCACTCTTGTTTCTGAGATGAACTCACAGTGCAAACTAAATGCTCCTCTAGTTGGTTATATTTGGCTTTTTTAGAGCTGAACGACATCACACACAACACCTTGTATTGATCTTCGACTGGATCGTAGCCAAGACGTACGTATATGCGTCTTCCGTTGGGTGTAACGTCTGGCAATTTCACCATTTGTCTAGTGGTGGGATTATAAACGCTGATCGGACAAGAATCTCGGTTACTAGAAACATCACCTTTGAAGCAGACAAAACCGTTGACAGAACCAGAGGCCAAGTAGTAGCCGGATTCCAAGTTTGGTATCTCGTATCTGGCCATGACTGTGGAGGAATTGTCATCATCGTTGTTGTCATGTTCAGGCGCCGAGAAGACAAAACAATCTTTGGATCCATAGCTTCGCAAGGATAAAAGGATGTGGGGACGAGCCTTTGACCTAGCCAGGAACAAGTCTACGAAAAGTTTGCTGCGGATGGTAGAGAACCACAGCTTTGACACAGTTTGGAATCGGACTAGTGATTTGGGAGGAAGTAGAAAGAGTATCTCAACAAGGAGATCGAGACACTACAAGAAAACAGCGATATTCCGAGGGCCAATTTCCTCGGAATATCGTCGGAATAGACGTATTCCGAGGACATTCCGAGGAAAAAGGTCGTCGGAATTTTTTCGTCGGAAAAAAATATTTCCTCGGAATTTCGTCAGACACACCGACGAAATTCCGAGGACTTCCGATGGACCAACATTCCGACGAAATTACGAT